AGCCATGCCTGCTCTCCAACGAGGGTCTGCACGAGCGCTGCGGCAGCGTAATTATCCTGGTGTGACTTTATCAGTGTAATTACAGCCAGGCGGTCGGTAACACCTTCCTGCCTCAACAAAGCCCCACCAAGACAAAGCCAGCCAAGAAAGCAGGCAATTAAGGTGTAGTCAGACACCGTAATTGGATTAAATCAGGTTTTACAGTTCCCACCCCCTCGCTGGAGCTCCCAGTCCCCCCCAGATGCTGGTGGCAGTGCCTGCGCCCACAGTCGGGGTGCGGGGACACAGGGGGGGACCCGGTGGCTCTGCCACTGTCCCCTGCACCGCTGGGCTCTCCCGGTTCTCTTCATTAATGGGCACGGCTAAGTCGCTAACGAAGGGTGATTTGTCCTCCCCTTCGGTGGTTTTATTTAGCACTGTGCCCTGAAAGGGACGGTGTTTACCTGAGCTAGTTTCCCCTTTTATTCTGGCTTTGGATCAGAGTAACGTGGAGGGCTCTCTCTTCTCAAGAAATACTGGTTTCCTTTCATTCCTCATTAATGTAGACATACCAGGCATATTTTTTCAGGTCTCTCTTGACTTTGCTGGAGGATGCTCTCAAATGAATATTTCAGAGCTTTGATTTCAACTTAAAGGGAGATGAATATTGAATATTTAACAATATCCTTTTTATCCACTGCTTTTTTGGCACCGGGGTGGACTAGGCGTTAAAAATCAATACAAACCAGGATCAAACGCTACAACCAGGATCAAACGCGCTTCCTAAAAAGCCTCGCGTCTCCACGTTTTTGGTGCAGAGGTGATCTGAATTACCTCTCTCCTGTTATCCAGCCCACGGGGCTGCCGTGTCCTTCCCCATCCTCCCCTTCGGCGAGCCAGCGTCTCTGCTCCCTTGGTCTCGCCTGTTTAATCCCCAGGTCTTGCCGCCATCGCAGCATCACTTTCCAGCCTGCCTGGAAAAGATCAGACCTCAGTGCCCCGTGCTGGCAGCATCCCGGGGGGACCCCACATCACTCAGAATTGGGGCCGAGAGGGGTTTTGTGCCCAAATAGGAGAACAGGGTGTTTATTTTTCCCCCTACAAACCTCAGGTCTTTGCAGAAAAGGGAAGGAACAAGTAGTTTCTAGTAAAATTTCAAGCTGTCAGAGCTCCCAGAATAAACCCAACTGTCCTTGCAAAGAGCCTGGAGACAAGCCCTGCCCTGGGAGAGCACCTTGGCTCCAGCACTCCAGTTATTTAACTGGTAGGGTGTGGGTGCTCCCGGGGGCTGCGGGGGTGACTCCTGCAGAGCATGTGGGGTGGGTCCGGGGGGGCTGCCGGGTCCTGCCGGGCCCCGCCGTGCCTGCCCGCATCCCTGCTGCCATCATCCTTTGAGCTGCATCCCTCCTCTGCTCGCTGCGAGGACGCTGGGGAGATCTGATCCATTTTCTTCTCCCTCGCAGGCACCACCTCCGAGCCCGCGCTGCTGCCATTCCCAGGTGAGATTCTTCTCTTAAAGTCGCTTTTCTCTAGGAAAGTTTTGTAGTTGAAAAATGCAATTTTTTTTTGTTAAAAATGGGCTTTGGGGAATTTAAAAAAGGAAGCACATCGATTTGGAATAAAATATGGCAAAAAAAAGCAAAACTTCTTTTACAGAAGGGAAATAGAGATTCTTTATTATCCCTGTTCTCCTTATTACCCCAAGAGGGGAATTTTGCCACCTCCTGCTGAGTCCCTGTCCCTGTGCCATTCGTCACACCCGAGCGAGTAATTCCCTTGATGTGGCAGGCCAGGGGCGCTTACATGCCTGCTCCCCATCGCCAGCAGCTTGAGAGATCATCTCCATCCCACCAACTCCCACGTGGGACCAGCTCTGGACGCATTAATTGAGGCCAATAAGAATTTGCTAATTGCTTCTCACCACTTGTCACCCGTCATATGTCATCAAGTGATGCCACATGTCCGCTCTCTTCTTCTCCCATTGGGTTATTGCCCAGGCCATTAGTAGGCAAGATGATGGGGTGACAAGGCATCTCATTTATGTATTGAGATGTATTGAGTCTTCATGTCCGCTGCTTCCAGCGGATGAAGAGAAACCCATGCCTCGCCATTGGGTGGGCAGCAGCAAGCCAACAGCTGCCTTGTGCTACAGCGAAGGGTCACCATTTTCTTTAAGGAGCAGAGATTTGGTGCAGAGAGGGCTCCCGCCCTCCCCATGACACCCACCGAGTGTTTGCCACCTCCTGGCCCCGGGGCAGGTTTGTTGCCTGCTGAGAGACCACTCTCTGCCCGTCCCAGGGGCCCCAGCCGGTGCCAGGGGCGAGTGGAGATCCTCTACAACGGCTCCTGGGGAACGGTCTGCGATGACGACTGGGACATTGTGGATGCCAACGTGGTCTGTCGCCAGCTGGGCTGTGGCCACGCCATCACCCTCCCGGCTGCCATGACCTTCGGACAAGGGAGTGGACCCATCTTCCTGGACAACGTGGACTGCAAGGGCCGGGAGGCAGCCCTGAGCGAGTGCTGGAGCCACGGCTGGGGCATCCACAACTGCTACCACTACGAGGACGTGGCTGTCATATGCAATGGTAATGAGGCTTGGTTCCATGGGGACAAGGAGAGCAGGGGGGTCCCTGTGGTGCTGCAAGTCCTGGTGTCTGCAGACACCTTGGGGGAGCCCAAGAATTGTATCTCAGAGCCTGTTTCTCTGAGCCTGGGTCAGCCAAACCTCCTCTGCATCCTTCCTCCACCCCTTTCTTCAATCCAGGTCATCTCCCAGCTCCGCGTGCTGGTGCTCCATAGGGTGACCAGCCTGGTTTGTGTTCCCTGTCACTCCCAGCTCAGGGACTTTGCAACCTCTCCAGCACGATCCCTGGGGAAGGAGCACATGCCCACCCACGCTCCTGCCTCTGAGTCAGGCAGGACTCAGAAGTCCCCTTTTGACTTGCCTTTCTTTAAATTGCTGAGCTTTTCAGTAGGAAATGTTCCTAAAGGTGAGAAAAGCAGTGGAAAGCGTTTCAACTTGGCATCTGAAAGTGGAACGGCTCCATGCCGACCCCTATATACCCTACACGTTCCTCCTGCATAGCTACGTAGGGTTTGCTCACCAGCCATGCATCAACGACCAGTAAACGTGAGGCTGTGCAGACCCAGAGCTTGGCCACGGCTGCAACTGCTCAGTGAATCTCTGCGTCCTGCAGGAGCAGGGCTTGGAAAGGGGGGGCTGCTGGGCTGGCTGGTGGGTTGGAGCAGCAGCAACCAGAGAAAGGAGGTCATGGATTGAGCAGGAGCCCCAATTCAAGGAGCTGCTGGAGAGGAGATGTGGAAGGACTGAAGAAGGAGGTGGGGGAGATGGGTCTGAGGGCAGCTTGAGCCCTTAGGTGTTTGTAGCTTGGTTGGCAGAGGAGACCAGGAGATGCTCTGGGGTGGCCCTCAGAGGAGATGCAGGAGTTTGACCCAGGCACCAGACCCCAAGGGAAGGTGCTCCTACCCGTGCTGCAGGGAAGCTTTCAAGAGCCAGCTCTCTGTCGGTTGTGGTTACAGAGGAAAGCTCTTCACTGTGCTGGTGGGCTGGGTTTCCCAGGATGCTTCCCGCAGCCCTCAGGCATGTGTGTGGCTGGCGACCAGGCCGCCTGGCTCCGCTCCCGCCCAGCTCCCCGCACCACCCCCAGATAATTTCACTAGCCCAGCCAAGGAGCTGGGACAAGATGGGCAATATGGTAGCTTGAAACAACATTGTTAGCGGAAGAAATATAGGTAAAACCAGCAGAAAAATCAAAATATTACTGTTTTTTTCTATATTTATGCCATGACTTTGAATCCAAATCCCAGGATAGGTGGGAGCCCAACTCCCAACAGCTCAGCGCAGCATTATGATTTAGTCTGGGTCCCCATGCTGTGCTGCCGGGCACAACTTCCCACCATGCCACCAGCCAAGGTCCTGGCTCCATCCGCCTCCCTGCACCTACAACCGGGCTAACTGGGCAGAGCAGTGCAGCTGAAAACTCCTCTTTCTTTCCCCGTGGGGGCTGGTTTGGTGCAAACCCTCTCGCTTTCCGTGGTGGGTGCTTGCCAGCATGTGTGCACAGCGGTGCCCGAGCTGGGGGAGCAGCGGGCGGGGGCACTGCTCACAGGCAGCTTCTGGACGGATTACTGTGGGCAGCAATGGACGCCGTCTCTCTGCTTCTCTTTTCAGAGCTCTTGCCCACGCAAGCCAGCGAAGGACCGACAAGCAGGACCCTCACAGCCGCGGTGCAGGATGGGGAAAGTAAGCTGCTCGGCCGTCGCTTGCAGGGGCCCATCCTGGCTGAGGGCTGGTAGAGGGCAGTGTCCCCCACCCGTCACCCGCTGCCCCTCCGTGAAGCACCCCGACTCTCTGGCTCCGAGCAGCAGAGCCCTGGGGATCCCGTCGTTGTGTTGGCCACGGCCAAACCCTATCCCAGAGATTCACCGAGGCTCCGATCAGCCTAAAGCATTGCCCCTTCCCTTCAGTTTCTTGCCCAGTTTCTTTGCTGTCATGGGCACTGCCGGATCCAGGCTCGGTGGCATTGCTGTGCCGTGGTGCGTGCGGTGACATCCTGGGGAAAGCAACGTCCTTTTCACCACATGCTGCCACCCTCCAGGTGACGGCAGCATCCGTCTGGTGAGCGGGATCGACACCTGCCAAGGCCGGGTGGAGATCTTCTACCGCGGGAACTGGGGCACCGTCTGTGACGACGACTGGGGCTTGAGCGATGCCAGCGTGGTGTGCAAGCAGGTGGGCTGCGGCCAAGCCCTGGATTACAAGAGCAACGCCTATTTCGGCTACGGCACGGGGCACATCCTCCTGGACAACGTCAACTGTGATGGCAGCGAGCCCTTCCTCTCCGCCTGCTACAGCCTCGGCTGGGGCATCCATAACTGCGGCCACCATGAGGATGCTGGGGTCATCTGCACAGGTACTGGGGCAGAGCATTGCCTTCAGGGCCATCCCCTGGGAGGGAAATATCCAGGAGCAACCTGGTCCCCAAGGAGAAATGGCCTCAGAGAGATGCTGACGTGTCCAAGGTCAGGCAGGGACCCGGGCTCTGCGCTGCAGGAGCATCCTTTCTTCTTATCTGCCGTCATCCTGGCGCTCCGGAGTGGGCTGCAACACCGCGCCGAGAGCCTGGGACACGGCCCAAACAGCAATTTGCAAGGGCAATGCATCTGCCTGCCTGCCATTTCCCTGCTCTGCTGGCTGGAAAACAAGCTGCCCGCGTCCGGAAGGAGCAAGTGGCAGCTGGAGGCCGGGCACGTCACCAGACTCGGCCTGCCTACCCTTCCCCTCCCTAAATGATGTATTTCTGCCATTCTCCACTGATTACCGTTTATAATGTTCATAATCCCCCTGAATTCCCTCATTATCAGGGCTAGTGATGGGAGCACTAAGTGCCGGTGCTTTTCCTTTCCCACTATTACCAAACAAAGAGGCTGATGCAGGAGACAAGGGACAATTTTCTCAGGCTGGTCCTTTCCCCCTTAAATGTCCCCGTCCCCTCTGGCACCTCACCCGGGCATGGAGCCGATGGCACAACCACACACAGCCCTTGCTCGGTGGGGTAGGGGAAAAACGAAGCTTCTCCATCCCCATCACGCTGGAGCACCCAGACCAGGGTCTGCCTCCTGGAGTCAGCAAGTTCACGGCTTTGCAGCTTCTCCCTGTGTGTCACCTCTGTCCCTCTGTGTCACCGCAGGGCTGGACACATCCACCATCACGTCTTTCACCACCTCAGTGGCCCTGGACTACGAAGAGACGCTCACTGCCACAGCCACAGGTAGGAGGTTGGCAGCCACGCAGCTCACCCTTGCACCGTAACCGGGGCTGGGGGCTCGCTGGGGGGGACTGTGTCTTCTGTGTCCTCCTGTGACACCAGCACGGTCACCCAGGGGTCCTGCCACACGTAGGTGAGGCTTGGGGAGTGATGTTGCCCACGGCAGTAGCTTGCCATTGGGCCACCATGGTGCTAGAGGTCACTGGCACCAACTGGAGCAGGGGCAGTGGGTGCTGGAGCCGGACCCCCCCAATGCCCGCATGTCCCCACACTTGTCCCAGCAGTGACAGACGGCAGGGACCAGCCCTCCCACGCCACCGAGGTGGTCACCACCGCTCTCCTTACTGTCGAGCAGGAAAGTAAGTGTGTGGTCCAGCATGGTCCCCCAGGCTCCACATCCCTGGGGGGTTACCCCATACCCCCAGGGCTCACCCCACAGCCCCAGGTGATCTCTGGCACCCCATGGTTCACGCCACACTCCGAGGCTTCACCCCACGCCACCAGGGACTTGCCCCATGCCCCCAGGAGGTATCCCACATCCCCAGGGTTCTCTTATGCCCCCCGAGTACCCCAGGGAATTACATCCCCAGGGCTCACCTTGCATCCTCAGGGCTCGCCCCATGCCCCCAGGGCTCATTCCATATCCCCAAAGGTTGCCCCATATGCCCAGGGCTCACCCCATGTCCCCAGGGAGCTACCCCACATCCCCAGGGCTCACCCCATATCCCCAGGGTTCACTCCACACCCCCCTGGGGTTCACCCCACATCTCCAGTGATTGCCCCATGCTCACAGTACTCACCCCGTGCTGCTTGGGAGTCACCCCACGTCCCCAGAGGTTCACCCCACATCCCCAAGACTCACCCCATGCCCCCAGGGGGTTGCTCCCATGTTCCCAGGGGTTACCCTGTACCCCAGAGGCTCACCCCATGCCCCCAGGGGCTCACCCTCCATCCCTGGGGGCTCACCCCATGCCCCTGGAGGGTCATCAGGGGACATTGGACCCCCTGAGGATCCCCAGTCCCCCCGGCGGCGTGCCTGTGCTGGGGCCCCCCACGCAGGTGGAGGCGTGCGGCTGGTGAATGGGAACGGGAGCTGCCGCGGGCGGGTGGAGGTGTGGTACCACGGCACCTGGGGCACCGTCTGCGACGACGACTGGGACTTCCCCGACGCCCAGGTGGTGTGCCGGCAGCTGGGCTGCGGCACCGCCCTCGCCGCCACCATCCTCGGCTTCTTCGGCTATGGCAGCGGGCCTGTCCTGCTGGATAACGTGGGCTGCGGCGGCGGCGAGGCTCGCCTGGCCGACTGCTTCCACCTGGGCTGGGGGCAGCACAACTGCGGCCACCACGAGGACGCCGGGGTCATTTGCCGAGGTGAGAGCGAGAGCGAGCCTGATGGCCACCGGCTCCTGCCTGAGGGTCTTCTTTGCCAGCTAGGTGGGAAAGGGAGGATGCATGCGACTCCCCAGGGCTCCCCAGGTCTCCGCTGAAGCCTGGCTCAGTGGCGTGGAAAACCCACGAGATAACGGGATTTCAGCCACATGCATGCTGGCTGGGGGAAAAGGGGTCCCCGAAATGGGGTGATGGGTGAATGTGAACCCCAAGACTCTGGGGTTCCTCCTGCCCATGGGGGGACAGCAGTGGCAGTCGGGTGCCGGAGCGTGGATACCACCTCTGCTCTCTGCTTGTGCACTTTCCTGGAAGCGCCGTGGCTGCACATCCCACCCCACACATCCCTGGATCCATCCACAGCCAGTCCCACACCGCTGCTGGGGGGCTCTGACCCAGCCCTGGGGGCACAGGAGTCCCCTGAATCACTTTTCCCACCCCACACATCCCTGCATCCATCCACAGCCAGTCCCATGCCGCTGCTGGGGGGCTCTGACCCAGTCCAGGGGGGCACAGGAGTCCCCTGAATCACTTTTCCCACCCCTTCCCCGCTGAACCAGGTGCTGACAATGCTGGAGACCATTTCCAAGAAGCCACTGCTACAACCACTACATCAGCCCCAACCCATCCCAAGGATGGTAGGTATCGAGGTATCACTGGGGATGCGGTGCCAGCCCTGGGAACGCTCTGCACCGGCACAGGGTGGAAATGGAGGTGGCTTGGGCAGAGGCCAAGCAGTAGCTGAAGCGCTGACCTGGAGCAGCCCACGGGAGGGGGAAAGCCATGCTGGTGGCATGGACCTCAGGTGATAGACCTCAGTGGGGAGAGGCGGGTATGGACCATTGGAGCTGCACCAGGAACAGAGATTATTGTCTGTTCCTTCAGCCTGAACATCCACCGCGATGCTTTGGGGGTCAGCCCCAGCTCTGATGCTGGCAAACGGTCACCCCCTCATGCTCCTGCCTGTGCAGAGGCAGTGGCAGCGCCATGGGGAGCACCAAACATCTGCTCAGCCTTGGAGAGACCGGGGCTCTTCTTGCTCTAGGGCCCCCCTGGCCAGGAAAGGCCCCTTCTCTGCCAGCCCTGGGGAGCCAGCCTGGCGGGCACTGCTGTCCCAGGGCGGTGGCAGGCAGGGAGAGGGGGATGCGGTGCTGGGGTGGGCACGGGCAGGGGCTGCCCGCGGGGCTGCCTCATCCCATCCCCTCCGCAGGGTCCCTGCGGCTGGTGAACGGCAGCCACCGGTGCGAGGGGCGCGTGGAGATGTTCTACCTGTCCCAGTGGGGGACGGTGTGCGACGACGCCTGGGACCTGCGGGATGCCAAGGTAGTGTGCAGGCAGCTGGGCTGCGGGCACGCCGTGGCGGCCTGGGGCGAGGCACGCTACGGCCGGGGCACCGGCTACATCTTCCTCGACAACCTCAAGTGCAAGGGTCATGAGCCCTCGCTGCTGCGCTGCTCCCACATCCGCTGGGACGTCCACAACTGCGACCACTCCGAGGATGCTGGTGCCGTCTGCGGCATCCTATGACCGCCCACCCACCGGGATCCTCGTGCAGGTACGGGGGGATGGGGATGGTGGAGGGGAGCTGGTGGCAATGGCCACGGAGAGGGGCTGAACGCTGGCTGCTGGTCAGGGACACTCAGTCCCTGCCTCAGTTTCCCCACTCACCCACAGGGGCACTGGCTGGGCCCCCCGTCGGTGTTTGGGCTCTGAGGATGGGAAGAGCTGGGTGAAGATTGGGCTTTCCTCAGCTCCTAAAATACTGGCTGAAGCTTTCCCCCCTGAACTGCCCCTTGGAAAAACAAAACCGATTTTGGTGTGAAACTTGGATGGTTTCAGCCATTTAAGAGATGAGGAGACAAAAATGGATTTTCTGCTGTGAAAATGACATTAAATTATACTCAGAAAATGTAAAAAGGGGGTTGAAATCAAACCAGGGTATTCCAGTGGCTCTGCAGTGAGCTGCTGCTGTTCTGCAATTTGCTTTGCAAACCCCCCAGCAATCCGAATACCAGGTTTTTCTTCCCATTTTGGCAGAAGAAATACCAAGTTCTCACCAATCTCCATGCAGCAGTTTTTTTGGAATGCAGGTGTTGGATCTCACACCATCCGCAACCCTGTCCTGCTTCACGGCTGCCCAGTATTTCTTCCTCGTGCCCATTTCACCTCCTGTTTCTTCTGCAAACGCCACTGGGTCTGCAGAGAGCTCAGCCGAGAATTCCCTTCCCTGGGGCTTCGGCACAGCCAGTCCCTGCTGAAAAAAGCCCTTGGGGAGCGGGGAAGGACCAGGCTCCCCACAGCCTCCCCATCCTTCCTCCATCCCACGCGGTCCAGACCAGCTCTGGCTGCTCTTTCCCAGGAGTTCCGTGATGCTCCGTGCTCCGCGGTGTCCGGGGCAGGCAGGGAGCTGGCAGGCAGGGCAGGAGCAGACGGAAAACCATAGGGAAGACCCCAAATCCCTGCCCAGCATGAGGGGAGGGCAATGGCGCTGAACCCGGGAGCCCGGTCGCTCCCCAGTGCCGTGCCTTTGGGGTAAGGGCTGTTTACCTCCCAGCTCAGGTGGAAGGACCCAGCCTGCAGCACCCGCCGCCATCACCATCAGCCGTTTCTGTTTTCTAATGGGACATCGGCTTTCGTGTTTTCATGGACGGGGTGCGAGGGTGGGGAAAGGCTCATGCAGCGGCGCAGAGCAGGTCCCTGCTGCTCCCCCCTCCGCGCTCGCTCCTCTATTTGTGCAATTCTTTTGTTAATAATAGGTTGTGCATATTGCTGGTTTTTTTTCCCCCATTTTTCTTATATGTGTTTGGGTTTGTTTTGTGAATAAATAAAAGCCCTTTGAAAGTGTGCTGAGACCTGACTTGCCTCCCTTACCACCCCCTCGAAGCCTGGGCAGGGGCAAACGGATGGGGAACAGGCAATGCCCCAAGCCCAGAGGAGAGGGCTCAGCTCTTGCTGCCAAAAATTGGTGCAAATCCCTTGCTGGCCCCCGTGCTGCCCTCGATTCCCACCCAGCTGGGAGCCAAGCCTGGACCCTTCCCCACCCCAGCTCCGGGGGTACAGCCCTGACCCCCACCAGGCTCAGGGGGGCGAGGTTGGGTCCAGCTCTGGGTTTGTTCCCGGTGGGATTTGGCAGCCCCACGGGCTGCGGGGTCGCTGCTGAAGCGGGTGCGTTGCCGTTGTGCGGCTGTACAGGCTCTGCAGTGCTGACAGCAGTAAATTTGGTGTTGCTTGCTGACGACGGAGGAGCAGATGGGAAAAGAGCCTGTCCTGGGAGCTGCAGCCCCTGCTGCTGCCTGCTGCTGCCTGCTGCTGCCTGCAGGGAGAGGCTGTGACCGCAGGACTGGGGACCAGGAGAGAGGGCTCCTAAATTTGGCGAGGTTTTTCTGCATCCCAATCGCTGGTGGAGGTGGCCTGAGCAGCGGTGTGTTGTGAGTTGGCATGTCCCAGCCACCGGACCTCTGCGGACCTCAGGGACGTGTGGCCAAGCAGCTCCCAGGCTGGTGCGGGTCCCCTCGGGTGGCCCTGGCCCTGTGCTCCTGCAGCCAGCATCAGGCTGACGTTGGGTGCCTCTCCACTGCTTCCCGTGGGCAGGGCCTTCCCAGCACTTTGCTCCCTGCACATTTCCAGCAGTGGGGAAACTGAGGCACGGAAGCATCTTCCAGGCGGGCTGTGGCGGCGCGGTTGGATGTGGGCTTGCTAGGACCTTGGGAGAGGGCAGGGAGGCAGTGTGTGAATAAAACCTCTCCTTTTACTGGATTCCCAGGTCCTGCACGCTTGGCTGCCCACCCCGCTGTCTCCTCGCCTCCCCGCTGCCACCACCACCTCCCGCCTCGCCTCCTGCCTCCGGGACAGCTGGGCGATGCCGGGATCCTGCTGGGAGCAGGAGGGGGACAGAGCTGTCCCCGGCAGCCCCTGGGCCCCCCCCAGCCCACAGCAGCTGTGGATGGGTCAGAGGATGCCGTGGGCTCTGCCAGCTTTGCTCCCCCCCTCCCTGTGGCTATGGGAGACGGGAGGGGGCTGGTGGCCAGGAGCTGCTCTGGAGGCTATTGCCTCTTGGGGTGTCGCGGGGAGGATGATGAGAAAGGCTGGCTGGGTTTTCCCTGTTTTCCTTGGGGACTGTGCCTTGAGCCTGCAAAGCCGAGCTGGTTTTTGGTGTTACCCCACACCCTGCTCCTCTTCGCTTTGGGCTGGGAAGAGCAGGTCCTGCTCTCCCTGGGCTTCTCCCTTCCATGACCTGCAATCCGACAAGCAAAGGGTTTCCAGCCAGGAGAGACAGCAGCCTCCTCCCTTGTCTTCCAGTCTTTTCTACTGCAGCCAGCTTGGGATGCGCTGGGATCCACAGGGATCCCCCCAGACACCCCATGCCCAAGCTGGGGATCATCTCCACGGGAGCAGGGAGTGACAGGCAGGGTGGGAGCAGGGTACCAGCACGGGGATGCTCTGGCCCTGGAGCAGGGTACCAGCACGGGGGGATGCCGGTGGCACGACTGCATCCCGCCGTGGGACCGCAGCCAGGCCGCAGCAGCTGCGTGGGAGGCGGGAGAAGCCGGGAGAAGCCGGGAGAAGCCGAGGTGCCTGCCCAGCTCTTCTCCTCTTGCCAACGTCAGCTGTTTCCCTGTGCCTGGAGCAGCTGCGGCTCCACACCGGTTGATGCCATCGATTAGTTCCTCTCCCCATCCCTGGAGAGGGGATGGTGCGGGGGGCGGCAGGGGGGAGAGAATAAATATTTCAGCAGGTCCAGGCAAAAGCTGGGGTTATTTCGGGGCTGGGATTTATGGGCTATTAGGAATAAGGAATGAGTCTGTGCTGGGGAGAGGAGACCCATTAATCCAGGCTGAAGGAGCACAAATGAGCAAGGGGAAATGGAGGAGGCTTTAATTATTTCGCCACGTTCCAGAATAATAAGCTGGCCCTCCGGCTGAGCGTGGGGCTTGGGAGCTCTGCTCCCTGGGAACAGGGGCAGGCAAGGGGGCACTTGCAGTTAAATCCCCCCCAGTTGTGCTGGGAGGGATGGGGGTCCCATTGTGGGACCAGTATGAGACCAGTACAATCAGTGTTGCTGGGTGGGACGTGGCATGGAGAGGATGGGTGGAAGGGCCCATGGGTCGGTTCCTGGTCCCAGGGGTGCCCTTCCTGGGCCGGGCCAGCCCTGCCACCCACTGTGCCCCATTAAGGCAATCCCATCTGCGCCTGTAACCGGAGGAGCTGGGCACTGGTGCAGGGGTGAGTCACTGCTGGAGGCAGCCCTGGCCCGGAGAGCATCCCTGGCTCTGCTGTGCCCAGAACCACCTGGGTGACCTTGGGCTGCGCTCCGCTCCCCCGCTCGCCATGCCCCCCCCGCTCTCCCTGCTGCCTCTGCATCCCCCCTTGTGTGCCTCAGTTTCCCCAGGGGGACGGGGGCCCTGGCTCACACCTTGGCATCCTCGGGGAGCTGCAGGGACCCGGCTTCCCTGGCTGGGGACATGCCTTACGCCCTGGGGGCACCGAGGAGCAGATTTACCCCCGCTGGGGCAGCCTGCCCCATCGCCTGCGGCGAGGGGTCCCAGGGATGTGAGCATCCATGTGGCGGGGATGCAGGGCAAGGACAGCCTTGGACCACCTCCTCCTCCGATGGGATGGATGAGGACCAGGTCTCCCTGCAGCATCCCTGTGGCACAGTGAGTCTTGCTCCCTTGGGAGCATGGCCCCGGGGTGCCAAGGTCACCCAGCGGGACCATGGTGGGGTGCAGGAGCCATCCGCTGCACCCCACGCCAGGCAGCATCCTCCTTCCCCGCTCCTGCTGGGCCTGCCGCCACGGCTCCCGCTGACGTCACCCCACCGGAGCCAGGAGCTATTTTGGGAACTGCAAAGTCACTGGCGCAATTAGTCCGCTGGCAAAGGGAGCGGGACGGCGGGGGGGGCCACGGGGCCAGCTGGGCTCCACACCGTGCCCCCGCCGTGCCGTGCCGTGCCATGCCGGGGGGCTGTGTGGCCATGGCCCATAGGCACCGGCAGATCTGCACCCCTCCTTACGCCTGCAGGCTCAAGGGCTCCCTCCGCCAGGGTAAACGGCCACGGTTGCAAATCCTCCCATCCATCATCTCCTCCTCGCTGCCTTTTTTTTTTTTTTGTTTAATTTTATTTCGTTCCCCTGGCAGGAGCCGCCCCACGTGGGCTGCCAAACGCTGGCAAAAGCCAGCTCGCTGCTGCCTCGCTGCCATCGCTTGCATTTAGAGAGAGGCAGGAAAGCAATTAGCTGGCAGCGATGCCGGCAACGTGCTTCCCATGGCGATGTCGCGGGCGAGGGGCTGCCCTGTGGGGTGGGAGCAGGGGTCCGGCCGTGCCTGGGCGCTCTGCCTCCAGCTATGCCTTTGGTTTCATCCCGTCTGCATCTTCTTGGATGCAGCCATTGGGGTGCAGGATGGGTGCTCCCGGGTGCACGGCCCGACAGCCCCCTTGTCCCCTGTCCCGGGGATGGGGACGTGCCACATGCTGCTGTCACGGTGGAGGGACACCTGTCCCCGGGACACAGCACAAGCAGACAGTG